TTTTTTTTTTTTTTTTCTTTTCTTTTTCTTCTTTTGATTGCGAATTTGTGTTTGGTTTTTGTTGCACTGTTTGTGTTTTGCGTGTAGTTGTGATATTCAATTGTAATTATAAATTGCCGCATTGTTTGCTACTCTCGTGTTTTTGGTAGGTCAATTTTGGTTATCGATTCGTGATTTGTCTTTGTGTTCTTTGGAATGGCTGCTTTCTGTGATGGCTATTTGGTGCATATAAAATTTGTGAAAATAGAGTAAAACATTCGAGAATTTGTATGAGATTTCATCACATCCATGAAAATTAAAAAGAGTGAGAGATTTTTTTAGAAGTTTCTGAAAGAATGGATGATCCGACAAAGCTAAGGTAGATGGTCTTTACTGAGCTCAATATTTTGTCGTCTTGTTTTCTCTCCCCCTTTTCACGGCAAATCTCTCGCAAATTTGTTTTTCAAAACTCCCCATTCGTTTGGTTCTTTTTTTACTCTGGTTTTTAAATCTATTCAATCTGGTGTTTTACAGAGTGACCGGCCTAGAAAATGACAAGGATTAGCCGTACTTATAGTGACTCAATGCAAAGAGGGGGTGTCTCAGCTGTATCAGCTGATGTTATATTTGCTTCTAATCGGTTTCCAAACTACAAAATCGGAGCGAACAATCAGATTGTGGAGGCTAAAGATGATCCCAAAGTACTATCTATGAAGGAGGTAGTTGCTCGTGAGACTGCCCAACTGTTGGAACAGCAGAATCGCCTCTCGGTTCGAGACTTGGCCAGTAAGTTTGAGAAGGGTTTGGCTGCTGCTGCTAAATTGTCAGAAGAGGTTAGGTTTCTTAATGAAGAATTCTGTTTCTTATGGAAACAAGAAATCCATCCACTTTTCATAATTTGTTTACAAGCTAAATATCTGCTTTGGTATTATACCGAGGTGCACCATTTATAATCTAGTTATGTGTGCATTTCAGGCTAGACTAAGAGAGGCAGCTTCACTGGAAAAACATGTTCTATTGAAGAAGCTTAGGGATGCATTGGAAGCATTAAGAGGACGTGTTGCTGGAAGGAACAAGGACGATGTAGAGGAAGCAATTGCAATGGTAGATTTTTTGACTTACTAGATGATGTTGCATTTGGAAATCTTGTACTATAATTTTATCATTAATACTTTAATGTTTGTATGTAATAGGTTCCTAAACTTTAAAAAGCGTGAAATAAGTTCCCAAACCTTCAATTTAAAAGTTTAAGGATTTATTAGACAATTTTTAAACTTCAAAGACCTATTTAACACAAACATGAAAGTTCACCGCTGAACTTACAATTTAGTCTAAGAAAATAGTTTTCTAAAAGAATTTACTAACAAGGCCTTGCTGGGTGTTGGCCATAACATGAAAAGAGTTCTGATGATAAGTGCTATTTGGCTTAGGTTTTAGAATTGTGTATAATACAGTGAGATTTCTCTGCTTTTGAGTATCTGCTATTTTGCTCAAGTCGTGGACGCTCTGACAGTTTTATGCGACTGTTTTGTTGAAAAACATTAAACCTACCTTTCTGGTTTTAACTTGCAATGTCTTGTTGCTACTGGTGCTATCTCCGAACACAAGAAAAATAATGTGGGTGCTTGATTCTGCTTATTGCAGGTGGAGGCATTAGCAGTTCAACTTACTCAGCGGGAAGGGGAACTAATACAAGAAAAGGCTGAAGTGAAGAAGCTAGCTAATTTTCTTAAGCAGGTAAGTTTAGCATTCTAATTAAATATGGATGATATTTTTCCTTATCTTAGAAAGCACATGTATTAAATACTTAGTTGTTTCTTCTTCTTATTTCTTTTATTAAGAACTAAGCATTATGATAAATGAAACATACACAAAGTGGTGAGACGGACATGTCTTAAGCAATTGTGTAGTACTTAAATTAAAGTGCTAAATAGTTTATTTGTTTTAATTGAAAGATTGATTAAGGGGCTTTAAAAGAAATGTGAGAGGAAAATAATAAACTTCGATGTGAAAGTCTTTGTACTTCGTTTTTTAACTTTTAAGCATATGGATGCATGAAGATGATTGATTTTAAATTTGCATAAGATGTTGAATTAATTAATTAATTTTTAAATTTTGAGGCATTACCTTTCACAAAATTATTTGTTCACTTTCTTTTCTGTTCCAGCGTTGAAAGTTTATTTTGGTTTGCAGGCATCAGAAGATGCTAAGAAACTTGTGGATGAAGAAAGGGCTTTTGCTCGTGCAGAAATCGAAAATGCAAGAGAAGCTGTTCAGAGAGTGGAAGAGGCCCTACAAGAACATGAACGAATGTCTCGGGCGGCTGGGAAGCAGGTTTCTCTCTTTTAATTAACTGTTCTCAAGAATTATGTATTTTTTGTTCTTAAAAAATATATATCTTCATTATCGTTGCTGTTTTTTCCTTCTTTTTCTTTTTTGCTTTTCAATAGCTTAACTAGCACAATTCTGAAATGTGGTTAGGACCTGGAAGAACTAATGAAGGAGGTTCAAGAGGCTAGAAGGATCAAAATGCTCCACCAACCCAGCAAGGTCCACATTCTATCCTCATTCTCTATGCTTATTATCATACAACTTGACTTATATACCTTTTACATTAATTTAAGTGGCAATATCATATTTGAGTTTTGCATTTTGGCTGACTTTTCATGGTATTCAATGGCAAAAATGATGAAGAGATGGACCCTCTATATGGTTCTTTTAAGTACGCATAAATTTGATACCATGTTAAGTTTTCGGGATATGTAGGTTATGGACATGGAACATGAGCTTCACGCATTGAGACTGCAACTTGCTGAAAAGTCCAAGTATTCTATACTACTTCAGAAAGAAGTAAGTTTTTTGATCTTATGATACAGGCAACTTCTATTTCTGATATTATGTGGTTTTTATTGGTTTTATAGTTTCGTAAGTACTGCATGCGGCCTTGAGAGTGATGCTTTTTATGTTAAATTTATTTCTGGAGTGAAACGTGTTTGTAGCTTTTAGTTAAAGAGAACACTATATTGCAGATGGTCGTTTTTCTACATTGCCGGAAAATGAAACATATTAGGACGAGAAAATTGCTTCATCTTATTCAGATTTCTTCTTAAAGACTACCCATTGAGTGTGTCGCCGTTATCCATTAGTTGTTATGAGCTAAATACTTTTTGGTTGTCACAGCATTGGCTTTTGATTGAAATCCTGCTATCACAAATATAAATGAAGGGATACAAAAGGACGTGTAAAAAGACAGCCCAATGAAAGGAGCCACCCAGCCACTAACTAAATATATAAAAAAAGGACTCAAATAAAAAAATACAAAAATTCTTGGAAACTAACACCAGTTGACACGTGAAACTTGGCAAGAGATAAGCCTCCCTCACAAGATCTTTCAATAGCTCTAAAACTTTTATTGTTTCTCTTATTCTAAAGATTCCACAAAAGAGAAAAGAAGCAATGTGTCACAAGAATGAACCCATATCATGAAATTACGAATGTAAAAGAATCTCCTCCAGCATAGAACTGTCCTCTCTGTTTTTATTGGCTTGGAGAGGTTTATTGGCTTGGAGCATGGATTGTTGGGCTTGGATGAAGGAGGTTTTGTTGTTTCTACCTTTTTAGGCCGAGGGGTGAAATTCTTTGGCAGGTGTGCTTCTTTGCCGTTCTTTGGTGGATTTGGCATGAGAGGAATGAAAGACATAAAAAGGTGGCTAAGGCTACTGTAATTATTAGCTAGGTTCTATCCTTTTCGAGATGAGTCCTCTCTTGTAGATCTTTGGGCTCCCATTTTTTGTAGGGCTGTTCATTTTACATGTGCTTGTTCGTTCATTCTTTTTTCTCAATCAAAGCTTAGTTTCTTAAAAAGAAAGAAAAAGTTCCCCCACAAAGTAAAAGGAGGCAATCCAAATGTTCTTTGCTAGAATAAGGTCATGGGGGATCATTTCTCAAAAGTTTTCTTTCAGAAAAGTTTTCTATGGTTTGTGAATGTGCCATTAACAAGTATATTAGAATCCCATTCTTCGTAATTTCTCACCTATTTATTCATAACAGTTCTATGCCTCCCCACACTACTAGGTTCCTAAACGCGGTCAAGAAGTTGCAAGCCCTGGTAACGGATTCCCATTTAACCAAATGAGAGTCAACTCCTTCCCCCCACTCGTTCTGATGGAAAGTTCCATTGAGTTTTCTATTTTAGAACTATTGTACGAAAGAACTTGGTACAAAAGAACCCGGTTTGTGATAATATGAGGCAAGACCTTCTATAATTCTTTCTCTAACTCTTGGAAATTATTTTTATAGAAGTTAATGATTAAGTTTATCGGCCTAAAGATCTAGACTTCGCAAACAGTCGACTTCTTGGGTCCTGGGGATAAGACCAATGTAAGTTTCATACATCATGGCATAATGGCACCTCTCAAGGCTGTTTTCGCTTCATTTCTTTAAGAAAATTTGATAGTTTGAAGCCTCCTTTTGAGCTTCCCCTCAAGATTTTTAAAACGTGTCTGCTAGGAAGAGACTCTTATAAAGAATACTTCGTTCTCCTCCCCAACCGATATGAGATCTCACAATCCAACCCCTTCAAGGCCCAACGTCCTCGTTGGCATACCGCTCGTTGTCCACCCCGCTTCGGAGCTTAGCATCCTCGCTGACACACTGCCCAATGACTAGTTTTGATACCATTTGTGGCCTAAATTGCTTACAAAGTTGAAGAAATGTAGTTAGGTTGTGTGACTGTGCTTTTCATTTTCATTTACTTGTTCTTTTTTCTATTCCCGTTCCTTTTTTCGCTAACCGATCCATTTCTATTTCATTTTTGAAAATACAGATTCTGTTTTATTTATTTTTAAATTATCCTGATCTCTTTTCTTTATACTGTCACTTTTTCCAGCTTGCAATAAGCAAGAAGGCAATGGGAGACAGCTCCAACATTTATGAGATAGATGGCACCGAGTGTTTGGGTTCTTGTCTCCATATCCAACCTTCTTGTGATACAGCTCCCGACCTTTCAAAATGCTTTATTCAGTGGTACCGCATAGGATCTGAAGGTGGCAAGAAAGAACTTATTTCAGGTGCTCTCTAAAAGCTCTGTATTTTACTTATTGAGGGGAATTCCAAATATTTCTTTATTAATATTGACCCGAACTGTTATTATCACAGGAGCTACAAAATCAGTTTATGCACCGGAGCCTTTTGACGTCGGGAAAATCTTGCAAGCTGACGTTCATTTAGATGATCATATAATCACTTTGACAACCACTGGCCCCATTGATCCAGGTAGTTTAAGAGTTGTATGTATAAGTAATCAATAACTATTGTCTTGGTTGCTGTAGCTGTTTAGTGCTTGTTTTGCTTGAACTCATAGGAGGAAACTAAATGTTGGTTTTCTTACAGCTGCTGGTCTGGGAAGCTATGTTGAAGCCCTCGTGCGGAAGCATGATGTTGAGTTTAATGTACGTTGTCCTTCTGTTTTTGTAGATTTTTCCATACGCAAAGATTAGTATGGTATAGGAAAGTGCTGAAGGTTGAAATTATCATTAACACGTGGCATAAATGGTATATATCGATCGCTCAAGCTTATGGAGATTCTTTTTATTTTTTATATTTCAGGTAGTTCTTACTCAGGTGAACGGAATAAATCATTCCTCAGAGTCGATACATGCACTCCATGTCGGAAAGATGCGGATAAAGCTCTGCAAAGGAAAGAACACCATCGCTAAAGAATATTATTCTTCATCAATGCAGGTAAGTTGAATATTGTTGAAATTTTTTCAGTTTGGATGTGAACATCTTTGCTGAATCGGTCTCACACTCGTTCTTGGTCGTAGTTGTGCGGAGTTCGCGGTGGTGGCAATGCTGCAGCTCAAGCATTGTTTTGGCAAGTGAAGAAAGATCTTTCTTACATTTTAGCATTTGAATCAGAGAGAGACAGGAATGCAGCCATAATGCTAGCCAGGAGGTTTGCTTTTGATTGCAATGTACGTCCTGCTTACTTTCTACTACTAACATGAATAATTCAGTTTGGTTCTCCAATCTTTACACTGCGCAACCTAACCCTTCACACACCTCTAAACAAGATTTCATATGTATCTTCTTAGAATGTTTATTTTTTATAGGAAATAAAACGTTCATTGATAGGATAAAATATTACAAAAGGAGAGTGAGGAACATCGGTTGGAGAGGGGCTGTTAAGGGATACAATTCGAAATTGAAAATTTCAATGAGGGGAAGCCCGAAAGGGAAAGCCCAAAGAAGACAATATTTGCAAGCGGTGAACTTGGGTTATTACAAATAGTATAAGAGCCACTAGACGGTGTGCCAACAAGGATGTTGAATCTCCAAGTGGGGTGAATTGTGAGATCCCACATCGGATGGAGAGGGGAACAAAACATTCCTTATAAGGGTGTAGAAACCTCTCCCTAGTGGATGCGTTTTAAAACCTCAAGGGGAAGCCTAGAACGGAAAGCCCAAAGCTATGACCAAGATTACGGAATTTATTTTTAAAAAGAACTATCAATTAGCCAATAGATCATTTAAACTACAATGTGTAAAGGTGGAGAAATCGATAGAGCTAAGTCCTAATCAGTAAAACTCTTGAAGGAGACTTCTTCCTTTTAAGTTTATATTGCATGGATACCTTGATTCATATCAAACTGTATACCATAAAACTCATGAAGAGCCAGAGATTCACCATCATTCCTCTCGTGTAGCATCACCCGTCTTTGCTTTCTTCTTTTGTTTCCAACTCGGATCTAATATTGTTATGAATACTCATATTGAGCAGATCATTCTTGCTGGACCGGACGACCGTGCTTCATCAGCAAACTGATGAACTTCTGTAGATCTCCCCTAAATGTAAATTATTCTTAGCTCCCATTACTCAACATTTGATAGTAGAATATGGCATTGAGATCTGTTATTATTGGCTTCCACTTTTTGTTTTTGGTGCTTCTGTTTTCTTCCTTCCTAACATTAAGGCATCTTCTTTTTCCTGTTTGCCTTTCTGTTTCAGAGTGCTAACAAAGTATATGACTGAATTTGTGGTTGTGGTTCATTCATTCAACCATTACATGTAACCTGGATTTCTCTGAGTATTGCTTTTCATGATTGATATATGCATGCTTCAAGTCTTTCAAAGTGGATACAATACTCAAAGCCCACATGGGCCCTCCCCTGATATCAAGTTCCTTTATAGTTCAGCTCCCTACTTATGTTCATTTTTAGTTTGATCCAAGCTGCAAATACTGAGAATGATATACTTGTTCTTGGAAGTGAAAACTCAAATTGGTGTACAGATTTATGGAAGAGATTTGCTTTTGTAGTTGTTTGGATAGGAGAAGTTGTGATTTTATGTTTCTTGGTTCTTTTGATTCAGAACAAGTATGGTATATGTTGTCAATCTGAATATCGACAAATATTTTCAATACATGATACGATAACCATAGTCAGTTGGATCTAACAATCCTTATAAACCCTCATTGATGTGCAAACTTAGTCCACTGATAGTAAATATTGTACTTTTTGGACTTTTCTTTTCCAGGTTTCATCTCAAGATTTTAAAACGTGTTCACTAGGTACACCCTTATAGCCCTTATAAGGAATGTTTCGTTCTTCTCTTCAACCGATGTGGGATCTTACAGAAACCTTTGGAAATTTGTTGAGCCTTTAAATCTCCATATTCAAGAACTCCAAAATCTTAAGGTAGAAACAGTTGTTTGAGATTCGAATCCGTCCAAAAATAAAGTGATTCTAAACTTAGCACTTAGCTTAAAAAATTTCAAGCCTAAATTCACGAGACAACATACATGGCTTTATATAACCTCAAAATGAAACTCTTAGTCTTCCATGAGTAATTTCAAGAGTTGTAACGTTCATTTTAGGACCATAATGAGCTAATATATAAATGTAAATTTTGACTTTATTTACTGTAACTCGACTTTATCTCTTAATAATTTGAACAATATTTATTATAACTTTCTTAAAGTTTATATTATATGATTGTGACGTAATTTAATATTTGAGATATTTGAGATAGAGATAAAATAGGTATGATGTGTATTAAATTTGGCCCTAACATGGTTGGTTTTATAGGATAGGGCAGATAATTTATTTTGTTCATCCTCTAGAATTCCACTCATTGTGTTTCTCAAGGAATTGTTTTTCCTTAAATTAGGGATTTTGCTATCTTCATTGGTTACTGTGATATCATTAATCTCAACCTTACAAAAAAAACAAAAAACGTCATGTTAATATATGTTGTCCGTTTTGGTCCGTTATGTATCGTTGTCAGCCTCACAGGTTTAAAACACGTCTATTAGGGAGAGATTTCCACACTGTTATAAAAAAAATGCTTTGTTTCCATCTCTAATCGATGTGGGATCTCACAATCCACCCCCTTGAGGGCCCAACGTCCTCGTTGGCACACCACCCGATGTCTGGCCTCTCTAATCCACAGGCTTTGTTAAACACTATACTAGCTTTCCCGAAGAAATTTTCTGACTAGTTGAGTAAATAAATTAGATGCATTTTTCAAAAGTATTGAAAAAAATACAGAAAGAGAGAGTGAAACGAGGAAAATGAAAATTGGGATTCAAAATCCGAGATTGCCCTCTTTTTGAAGGAACAGTGAAATCACCGACTTTTGTTCCTCACGACTGATTGTATCCAACAGTGTAAAACTGTCTATATGTATCAGGCTCTCGAAAGAAATTATTTAACTAGTCGAGTTAAACGAGTTAAGTGTCACAATCGCACTTTTGATGGCAGCGGACTTGCAATTGTGCGGCATTCACTTTCCAACGACAAGTGAGCTGAGCCAATTCGTTCTTGCATCGCCTACGGCCAAGCGACGTATGCTCGAGCCTCTGGCCTCGATTTTAAGAGAAGGTTTTAGAAAACGAGGAGAGAGAAAGATTTTTTAAAGAGACGTTATATAAACAAGAAAGAGGGAAATAACAACGGCTCACACAGTATATAACCTTGGGTAGGGAGAGATTGACAACTAGTCGTATCCCCCGTAATATATTCCGAGGCATTTCATGTCTGACAGCTTAGACATCATATTTTTGAAACGTCATACTTCCTAAAAATACAAAAGTAAAACACTAGAATATGAAAAGACGTTGAGCTTGTCATGGACATGCGACCATGGGCAACACGCCTTGAACGAGCATGACCGTGATACTAAGCTCAGGGTTTATGCTCGGGAATCGTATCTAAAAATAAATAAATTAAATGCATTTTTTTCAAAATTACTAAAAAAAAAATTAAAAGATAGAGAGAGAAACAAAAAGGAAATTTGAGATTCAAATTCCTCTATTTCCTCTCTCTCTCTCTCTACAGTGAAATAAAATTCGATCTTAAATGCTCTCCTCCTCCTCTAATGGCGTCTCACAATAACAGCTCCAATTCCAACTCCAATCGCCATTTCTCTTGGCTTATCAAATCTTGCTTCCCCAACCCTAACGATTCCTCTCCCACTCTCCCTGTAACCTCCAAATCTTGCTTCGAATCCGCCGCTACCACCACCCACACCTCTTCTCTACGGCCACCTCCCGCCGCCGCACCGATCTCCTCTCTGCCGGACGACCTTCTATTGGACTGTCTTTCTCGAGTTCCGTCCGCTTCTCTTCCTTCTGTCTCACTCGTTTCCCGTCACTGGGCCCGGCTTCTGCTGTCCTCTACATTTGTCGATCTCCGCCGTCTTCGCGGCCATTTGGAGGATACGGTTTATGCTGTTTCTGCAACTAATTATGGCCTGTACGCGGCGAGTTTCAACTTTCCGAACGGCGGTTTGTGGAAGGTTGCGCTGTTTAAAGCCAAGGAGAGTGTGTTTTTTAGTGATTTCTATGGATTGCTCTCTCACGCGCGACTCTCCGCTATTGGACCTAGAATTTACCTAATCGGTCGAAATGCGATGTTTCTGTACGATACGTGGTCCGGAATGGTGAAGGCGAGATCTGCGATGAATTTCTCCAGGAAGAAATTCGCCAATGCGGTGATTTCTGGTAGGATCTACGTCGCTGGCGGTGCTCCGACGACGACGGCGGTGGAGATGTACGATCCAGAGACGGACTCGTGGCAAGTCGTTGCGCAGTCGGCGAGAAGACGGTACGGTTGCATCGGAGCCGCCGTCGACGGAGTATTCTATGTTATCGGAGGACTGAAGATCGGAGAAGGAGTTTCAGGTAACCTAGTATCACACAGCGCTTGTAGATCGGAGGCACACGTCTACGCGAGCTCCATGGATATGTACGACGTGGAGGCGCGTACGTGGCTGAGAAGCAGCGCAGTACCGGGAGGAGGCTGCGTGGTGGCGGCGTGTGCAGCGGCGGGACACATCTTCGTCCTCACTAGTCACGCCGTTGAGCTCTCGTTCTGGAAATTCGATGCAAGAAGAAAATGCCCTAACAGTAGCAACCGAACCTCAACCAAATCCACCGGATTCGGCGAGTGGTACAGAATAAGAAGTCCACCGCTACCGCCGCAAGTCCGGCTGGACAGCACGGTGAGGTTCAGCTGCGTCGGAATGGGGGAGACGGTGGTGCTGATTCAAGTCGCCGGGTGCATCGACGATATACTTCGCCGGAGCGGAAGAAGCGCGAGAGGATTGAAGGAAGGTTTGGTACTGATCTACGAGACGAAAAGCGGAGAGTGGAGCAGAGCAGCGGACATGCCGGAAGTTATGCAACGCCCCGCCTGTATCTGTGTTAAGTGTTGATGACGCGCCCCCATGGGAGTAATCTGACGCGCCCCCATGGGAGTAATCTGACGCGCCCCCATGGGAGTAATCAGACGCGCCGCCATGGGAGAAAATGACAAAAAAGAGCGCGTGGGTTCACGGACGCGAGTGAGAAATCCAAACACGATTGGTTGATTCGTCAATTATTTAAGCCAACAAGATCTGATAATTCCAGATTTATTTGCATGGGGGCTCTGAACCATTCTTTTTTTATTTTTTTTTATTTTTTTTAAATGGGGTTTGTATTTTATTTTATTTTATTTTTTTTAAATGGGGTTTGTATTTTATTTTATTTTATTTTTTTTAAATGGGGTTTGTATTTTATTTTTTTTAACGTTAAGATGAAAATACATATGAATTTTTACCAAATTTTAAAAATAAATTTGAAGTAAACTAAAGAACTATTTACATTTAGTTTAGATGCTGAAAATATTTTGAAAAAACTCATAGCCAAAAATAGTATTTTGAAGAAAATTTTAAAAATTGGAAACCAAAAATAGCTTTCAGAAAAATTAAAATACAAATTAATTGGATTTAATACAATATTAAATTCCACATTTTGATATATAAAATATTTAGATTTTTTAAAATTGGAATGAGTAAATTATAGCAATTTTTTAATAATTGTAAGATAAGGAAGGTCTAAAATTGAAATGAGTAAATTTAGGAATTTTTTTAATAAATTTGGATATGATTTTGAATAGAAAGGTTGATGTGACAATGTATCAAATAAAATGTGATATAACAATTAGTTGGGTTTGATGGATTTTGACATAAAAACAATTACATTTTTAGCACTAATTCCCTTTCTAACTTATTTTTCTATCACATCACATAATTTTAGAATAATCTACAATGACTCAATCATAAACAATTCTAAACTCAAAATTATTATTATTGTTTTAAAATTAATTAAAACTTTTTTAAAAAGTTGTAGGAAAAAAAAAAACCCAATTTGTGAAATTGAAATAAAAAATATAATTTAAACAAAATTTGTTATTGATTAATGAATATATTAAGAAATTAATCCTTCAAAAAAGGAAGTAGAAACTGGTTCAACTTTTTAACTTTTAGGATTTATTAAATACTTTTAATAATTAAAAAACTAAAAATATAGAAATCTTAAAAGTTTATATTTAAAAACATTTAAGAAAGCTAATAATGAGTAATATGATTTATAGGTGAAATAAATTAATGAGTGGATTAATACTAATTATAGTTGGCATGCAAGCCAAGTTATCATATTTTTAAAAGTTGAGTCGATTATTGAATGATAAACTAAATTTCTCTCATACACATCTAATTTGACATCGACTTTACCCCGTTCATCATTTCAAATCTTGATAAAGAATTCATCTACAAAATTTCAAATCAAAATATATACGTCTTAACTAGTTAAATTATGACCGTGTTCTTATAAATTAAAAAAAGAAAAAAGTTAAAATAAGTAAAGAAACTAATAGACTCATTTATATATACTTAACAGCAATGAATTATAATTTGAGATATTGAAAGAGATGCAAGAAAATTCATTTCTCTACAAATAATTCAACACTACAAAATGAAGGTTGGGTTCCACCAAAAAGGAAAAGCAACACGGCAATTAGATGCATCATCAAAATCACCCTCCATCCGATAGTTCTACAAGACACCATATTCCCAATGAATGTAGCTCTCAAGGTCTTGTCTAGATTAAGAAGATTAAGATTTAATAACTCGAAAAGCATACGCAGGCAAAAATTTGAAACTTGAACAAACTAAATCATGCTTCTTGTGAGCGAGATGAATAGAGCGTTATTATCTTCGCATTCCACGTCCACGGCCACGGAATGCAGCCCCCCCACGTCTTCCACCCATGGCACTGGCAGCAGCTTCTCCTTGTGCACTCTCCGACTGCACGATAAAGGTCGGGGGAAGGAATGTTAATAACCATGACTGAGTGTAAAAGAAAATTACACGAGAGTAAAACTCGATCAAATATAACCTTGGGATTCTTCACGGTTTCGTCGACACTTAGTATGAGACAAGCTGCCTCTGTAGCAGCATTAATAGCATTTATCTGCAAGCGAAGGATTCGGTGTGACAACAGAAAAATATCAAAATCAAAGTGCTTCCTGTGGTTATTATTTGTTTCTAAAGGTTAACGCATCCAGATACCTTAACGACAGCAGGTTCCCATACGAAGTTTGCAAATGAATCAGCAACTCCACCGGTGTTGATGTCCACCCCATACAGTGCGCCGTCACCTATTTCAGAACCTCAACATGTTACTACTATGCAATCATTTGACGAGGCCAAATATAGAAATAGAGTGAATAAAAATGGGCCGACACATCAAGTAATGTTAATCAAACTCGACTATTCATCAAATGAGTGGAAGATAAATCCAAAACAAAGTTTCCAGATGGAAAATTCTACCTGAAGGATGCGAGTGTTTCTGTCGTAATTTGTTGAGGACATCGGTAGCATCAAACCCAGCGTTGTCGCACAGTTGTCGGGGAATAACCTGCAGAACCACAAGAAGACAACCCAGTAAGTCATCCCTCCTAAAACCATGTTTCTATCAATATTATCATAAAGCAGGGATTCTGAAGGTGTGCAAATATGAGAGTAGTGGATGGCTGTATCGAAGTTTTTAGTTAAGGTCCTGAATTAAAGAAAAAAACAACTCCAAATAAAAAGGAGCCAACTAAAGCAAGAACAGGCAATATAAATTAACAGCCTCGAGGTAAAAAGAATGTAAAAATAAACGCTTGCTGATTTTACTAGACAATTGCTTCAACAATTTCAAATGTACATAAAAAGCCCTCCCGAAAGAAGGAATAATGTTATGTTCTTCAGTTGTGTCTAGTTATTTTCAAAAGAAGTGAGAGGCCACTAATCTACCTCAAGAGCTTTGGCATATGAGTTGATGAAAAGCTGAGACTTCCCAGCTATTGTGCGTGCATATTGCCTCAAATATCGACTGATCTCCATCTGCCACAAAGTGATTAAGTAGATATAATTGAGAAAGGGATATTTAAATAAAAACCGAGCAATCAAATTAAGCTTAACTGAAATAGTAAACATACATCTATTGCTCCACCTCCGGCAACAACAGTAGAATTCTTCAGTGCTCGTCTTACAATCATGATAGCATCGTGCAAGCTACGCTCTGCTTCTTCAATAAACTAAATGATAATAGTAGTGTCAGCAAAAAACAGGATAACTGACAAACACAAGATGGTATATCTAAGTTTTCGTACCTGATCAGCTCCACCTCGTAGGACTATGGTGGCTGTTCTACCTGATGGACAGCCACTGAATATATTATATCTTTCATTACCAACTTGCTTTTCCTCAAAGAGCTCACATGTTCCAAGAACCTTTAAGCCAACAAAGTAAAACAATATCATATTCCTCAGATGATTGTTTGGTTCTGAAAAACAGAGGAACGCCAAGAACAGAAGTTGCTAAACAATTTCTAACAGAATGTGAGCCTACCTCATCAATAACGTTGTTAACAGATGTCTGTACTGTTCCACCAGTTGCAGCAGCAACCCTTTGCAAATCCTCTTCAGCCACACGGCCAGCACAGAAAATATCTCGGTCTGCAAAATACTGTTAAAAGCAAACCATTGATGTGGATTAAGAGGCAAATTGACTAAATGAGTGGTGATAATACTTCTTAAATTTTCAATAGAATATTACTTCATAATATCCATTGTCAAGAATCATATTTGACATAAGAGACCTTGTCTAACCATAAAGAACTCTGGAGACGTAATCATTGTGAGAAAACACAAAAATAATAACCTGTGTGGCAAGATCACCGATAGCCAAACGCGAAAGAACAACCTTGGCTCCACTCTCTACACATTTGTCTAATTTTTCGTAAATAATATTCCATTCTGCATCAACAATGGACTGATACTGCAATGGATCAGAGAGCCTACGAAAAACATTGAGTTTCTGGAAGTTTAGCACGGTAATAAAATGGAGGGGGAAGTTCTATAAACTGAATCTTACCGTATCTCTGCATTTTCTTTCTCTGATTTAAGTTCCAATTCAATATTTAGCAATAGTATCTTTGGATTCAAAAACTTCTTTGGCTGCTGTTCAAAACCTGCATAGGAAAATGTCTTTTTGAAGGCAACACCATTTACCAGGAAGGAGTCGCGCATAGTCCCTCCAGGAACCTGACAAGCCATATCAAAATTCCAACAGCACAATACCATTCAGTAAATGTACCAGCAATTCACTAAAATCATTTGAAGGAGAAATTGAATCAAAGAATTATTACCAAACCCAATAAGGGAATAATTATGTATAAATAAAGAACTGTGAAAAAGAAATTTGATGGTATGAAGGTTTCAACTGTAATACACTGTTTAAATGCAGATAATTGTAAAATCGAATTAAGAAATGTCAAAGTTGTTCAATCACTATTCCAGATGATATTTCAAAGTTGATAATTTAGCCACGTATCTTCAGTTCAAAAAAACCCAAACAAAAATTATAATACTGCATGGCAGAATGATTTTGTGCTCCACCTATACAAGTTATCTGTACCCATGGAGCAAAATAATGAAGAATTCAAAGGAATTATATGAGGGTACATACCTTCTTTATACCAATCATGTTAAGCCTATCTTCATTGCCTATTGCAATAACAGAATCAACAACCATTGATGCAAAGAAGTCCTTTTCTCCACCAATGAGCTTAGAGGAAAGTGTTGTAGCAGCACATTTAGCCAACAAGCTTTTCTTTTCCTCCAAGCTCTTCCCCTCTATGCTGGTTGCCAATTCTTTTACTTTCTCAATTGCCTACCAAACAAATACAGTCAAAGGAGAGTTAGGTAAGCATTCAACACATAAATGTAATATTAATGGAAGCTAAAGTCACACAGACCAAATGGCTTGCAGTCCTATAGCTCCGTATTAAATTTTGAGAGTGGACTCCATCCTCTATAAAAGGCTTGGCCTCCTTCAAAAACTCAGAAGCAAGAAGAACGACAGTAGTTGTCCCATCACCAACCTGGAACACAATATTAAGCAGTTCCGTGACCATTCCCATTAGTGTCATTATATATAAAGTTCCATCTTCATTCTTCCTTTCTTTTTTTTTTTTTTTTTTTTTTTTTTTGTATATTACACGGCAATGGAAT